CCTAACCTAACCTAACCTAACCTAACCTAACCTAACCTAACCTAACCTAACCTAACCTAACCTAACCTAACCTAACCTAACCCTAGCTTATGGTCATGACGTAGTAGATCTCGTGATATGACGTCATGGTCACCTGACACGGTCTAGACGGGTCCGAGTTCTTTGATCCGATCACGGATCATAGAAGTCTTCTTTCGCAAGAAGTTCGGATTAATCTCGAAGGTTTGATAGAAGTGGAAACGGACGGTGCCTTCGGGATGTCCGCATGGTATGCTTCTCGGGCGGACTTCGGCCTGTTCGCGGAAGGTGGCCAAGCTTCTTTAAACTCTGTTACTAACAGGTTGAGTCATCTTTGCTGATATCGCTTACAAACACGGGCCTATGCCGGGCCGCTTAGCAATCAGCATAACGTCCCACCAATCAAGGGCGTTTCATTCTACAAGTCTCAATGGCAAGTTCTTTCTCAGTCGAGTCCTTGCTTACTCAGGCGTCCTACTGCGCCCCGGTCGCTCGTTCCTCGCGACGTGCGACTCAGCTGACCAAGCGGATCTGAAGAGCCCATAAATACGGGCGAAACTTGGGGGTGGACGGCATTCCACCCAAGTCATCCGAGTCAGCCATCAAGCCTTCAGCAAGGCAGGTCGACACTAAACCGCCTAACCTAACCTAACCTAACCTAACCCTAAGTGCAGGTTGACTATACTTTTAAAGTCTGAATGTAATGTATTGCATATGGAAGGCAAGCTGAATCTGTAAGGCTAAATTTGTAAGTCCAAAATACCTTCAATATATAGGTGAAAGATGTTAATAGCAAATATAACTAGTGTCAAGATTCTAACTCACCTAAAGTCTAAAAACTAGATACTATATGCTTGAAAATGTGATTCAGATTCATGACATCCAGTTCAGCATGGTCTCCTTTTATATCCAAGAATGGTGTTTACAGTTAGATCATTCATATTTGGGTTATCTTTTAACTAGCTTGATGACCCATGATTAATGTGTTTGTTTGATTTATGGCATGTGACACTTGTTTCACTACTTTATAGCAACAAACCCAAGATGCTTTTGAAAGAGTCACATGGTGGACTTGTTGATGAGCAGTATAACATACATCTGAGTTTAATGTTTTGTTAAAGTACAACAAGATCAATATTACAAGTGAATGCTCACTATGTTTACCAATTTGTCGGTGCGGGTGCATGATGGGTGCTCAGGGCGAGCATGAGTCATAACAAGTGGTGTTTACCTAGGCCGTGGGCCCACTGAAGCACATCTCGAATCATTAGAACTGTCCAAAGTTGGTCTCCGTCTCCGAGCTCTTGCAATATCAATTGCACGTCAGGGACCTGAAAGGCTCTCAATCAGAGACCGCAGTATATGCACTCCGATGTGCTCACAACGTCATCGATATTTGCTGGCTAAAGCCTGCGTTGCAAAAGATGATCCCACATGCCGATATATGACTTATGGAAATCTGCATAAGTCCAACGTGGGTTTTCCTTTGCGGCCGATATCAAGACTTATAAGATCCGGTGAGTTGTATAGAAGTCGAGGAAGCAACAGCTGTAGGTCTTCGAGGGCTTCTTGAGCATATACCAGCTGTACTGGGTCTGTATATATACCGGGCTATTATTATCAGTATACATACAATGAACCCCACATTGAAAGAACTTACTCATCTATTCTCTCGTAATCAACAGTGTATCGGAATATTTTGCTGGTGCACAGGCGCTGCACCGTAGTGTTCTCTGGGTCCTCGTCTTCTTGCCTGGCATCCTCCTCATTCGTGTACACAGGCTGCACCCATTTAGCCGCTATCAGATTATGATCTTGGGTTTCGTCGTTGAACAACCTAAGAGATTGTATCTGGTGACTCTTTGGGTGGAAGATACAAAAATCCGACAGTACGCGTACAGGGACATCCTCAATGTCTTCTCCTTCGTCTTGATCTTTGCCGCGTATGAGCATCCCTGCATGTTCTTGAATATTGGTAGGATGGGGTTGGTATCTGATCTCTGGGAAAACAATTATTGGTACATTGTACAGTCTACCAAACTGAGAGTTGTCACTAGTGGCATGAGAGTCTTGTTTCTCCGCCTTCTGATGCTTCTTCGACTTTCTCGTTCAATTGGACTGAATTCTATCGCATTCAAGTGGAGAAACATGTATGAACCAAAAGGAATATGGGAGGGTTACAAGGAATGTTGTAGCTACACAAATATGCCGAGGTATTTCATATAACAAGGAGTTAT